TTGTTAGCATCATGACACTGTGCTCTATATTTTGAACTTAGCTTGGCTTTATTAACTTTTTAAAATATGGCTTCACTGAGATATAATTCACATGCCATCATCCAGTCAACCTTGTAAAACATATTATTCATTAGTTTTTAGTATATTCAGAGTTGTGCTGTTTAAGGGGCTTTCCTGGTGGTTTAGTAGTAAAGAATTCGCCTGCCAATGCAGGAGACACAGGTGACGCTAGTTCGATCCCTGGGTCAGGAAGATTCCCTGGAGTAGGAAGTGGCAACCCACTCCAGTGTTCTTGCCTGGAGAATTCTTGGACAGAGGAACCTGGCGGGCTACAGCCCATGGGGTTGCAAAGAGCTGGATAAGACTTAGCGACTAAACAACAAACAGCAGTGGCTAATGATGTTGACCCTCTGTTTGTGTGTTCACTGGCCATTTGTGTATCTTTAAAGAAATGTCTGTTCAAATTGGCCTTCTCCATCTTTGGAATCAGCCTAGCTTTACAATACAGCTTCTCAATTTGCCTGTTGGGTTTTCTTGACCAGTTTGTATATGAAGCAATTTTCTCTTAATAATTTGATGAACTTGGTAAAAATATATATCAAACCATCTGGGTGTGGATTGGGGAAGGTGTTTTTTCCTATTTCAATTCACTAGTACATATTGAGTAACTTGACTCGAATTTTCTATTTCTTTTTTTCTTAACCAATGTTAGCATATTATATTTTCCCAGAAATTTGCAAATTACAAATTTTGCAAATTTTGCAAATTTACACATCCTGTTTATGACACCTTCTTACTTAATACCTTATATCCCCCTTGTCAACAAGTACATCCTTTGATGGAGCTGTGAAGCGCTGGGATGTGCTTTCTATTTTCACATGTCTGTCCCTCTCAGTAGATGGTTAGCTGTCCGTTTTTCTGTTCTGAACAGTGTGACTGTTGTTTGGGTTCTATCTATGTGGTGAACAAGCCACCCACAACGCAGTGGCTAGAACAACAATCGTTTAATTGCTCAGGAATTTGGGCAGGGCTCAGCCGGGCAGTTTTTCTACTCTTGGTAGTGTCTGTTGCAGTCCCCAGTGAAGCTGGGAGCTTGGCTGGAGCTGGAACGCCCTAGATGCACCTCCCGTGAGGGCTGGTTTGGTTTCTCTCTCTTTCTCCCCTCGTAGACCCTCCCGCTCCACAGCCTCTGCCCTGTTCCCCTTCTGTGCCTTCTCTCTCCCCAGTAGAGGACTCAGGGTTGCCAGTCCAGCGGGCAGCACAGCAGATCCGAGAAGCCTGTTGCGTTCTTGCCTTGGACGTGGCAGGGCCTCCTTCCCACTGGTCCACAGCAACTCAGATGGTCACTGCAGATGTGAGAGGTGTGAGCAGACTTCCCAACTTATGAGAGCGCTGCACATGGGGAGGGAGAGGAGGAATTGTTGATGGCGTGTTTGCAGATAATGCACGACTGTGAACATCCTGATACACTTTGATGAATGTTGGCGTCAAAGGTGAACGTTGTTTGAGTGGATATGTGGTCTATTGTTCTGGGGATCTTAGGAAATCACATAAGGACTGGGACCATGATAAAGTCCCCATCCTAGAATTTCTTGCTGTCTAGCAGGGACTGTGCACCAACACTGGCATGACTTGGAGTAACTATAGCAATGCTCCAAGAGCCTTGGGAGTTTGTCCTTAGAGTAGTCTTCCCTCAGCTCCCTCACCTGCTGCAGGAGAGGGCATTCTGGCCATTTTACAGAGGAGGAAACTGAGTCTCTGCAATCAGCTGGCTTGCCCTACTTGCTTCCTGCATTCCCTGCTGCCTGGACTTCATCCCACACCCCTTCTCTAATATTTTCTCTGCTCCCCACAATGTTGTGACAATAACATGCATCGTGCAGAACTGAACAACCTCCTGATCTCTTGCCCCTTTAGTGAGAGGATGAGCTAAGAAGGTGACGAGGCTTAAGTGCCCAAGTCCTCGGGTCACGCTTCCAGCACTGTGTCCTGGTTCTCTCACTTAAAAGGTTTATCAATGTGGACTTTTGGCCTCCCCTCGCTAAACCTCACTCTACTCGGGTATAAAATGGGAACAGTAACCTGATTGTTGGAGATCAGGGAGCTGGTGCACAGAAAGCACCTAGATTCTCAGCAGTGGCAAAGGGGAGAGAGGACATTTAGGTTCCCTGAAGTCCAGGTGGCATTAGTGGCAAAGAATCCACCTGCCAGTTGAGGAGCTGTAAAAGACATGAGTTCAGCCCTTGGGTTGGGAAGATCTCCTGGAGAAGGGCATGGCAACCCACTCCAGTATCCTTGCCTGGAGACTTCCATGGACAGAGGAGCCTGATGGGCCACTGTCCACGGGGTCGGAAAGTGTCGGACAGGACCGAGGTGACTTGGCACACACGGGGTCCCCACCCTGACTGTCCAGGTTCTGCTCTCACCTGGGCTGAGTCAGGGGGGTCGGTGTGCTCGTGGTGAATACACATGTCACAAAGGGCTTGTTCCTTCCTCCTGCTGGAAGAGCCATTGTGTTCTAATGAGATGCTCCAGGTGGTGTCGAGAAATTCGCACTTTCCCAGCCATCTGTCTGGACATGGATGCTGAGTTATTTCTTGCTTGTCCCGTTCATGGGGCCAACCTGGGGCTGAGCCCTCTGTCTCAAAGCGGAGCCTGTGTGAGCATCCCACTCTCCCGCCTCGACAGGGCTGTCCTGTCCCAATGCCTTCCACGAAGGCTTGGCTCTTCCCAGCAAGGCTGGAACACACGGCGAACCAGGACTCAGGGGAGGGAGACTGCGCTCACATGCACGTTGATTCACAATGAGTCAACGCTCGCCTGTAACATCTGGCCCTCGGTGTCCCGGCTGTAATAAGAGAACGTTTAGTATCGTTTGGCAAAGCGTTCTCTCTCCAGAGGCCTGAATCTGTTCCCTGAGTTACTATTCATTGTTTTACTGTCCTTCTGGGCCTATCCGGATATCTGGTCACATTTTCCTGCAAATAACAATTTTCTGGCAAAGTCGCCACCCAGGTTGATGACTTCTGTGCTGCGGTGTGGAGGTTTCCTGCTGGGGCCCTGGGAGCCTGAGCGAGTGAGGGGGTTGTTTCGGAGTGTGTTTCTTCTCTCATCTGTTAATTGTTGAGAGCAGCGAGCTGGTTCGTTGACAGTCTTGATAACTCTCCATAGCTAGGAAAGCCATCAAGGCAAATTGGAGATGAAGACAGTGGAAACTCTCATTTGGAATCTGTGTGAACATCCTTCTCCAAGTCAATTTTGAAGCTACATCTGAAAGGGCCCCGGGAAAAAAATAGAAGTAAATGGGTCACAGAAGACTGTCTCCTTATCTTAATTCAGTTTGGCCGTGAAAGTTGAACAGCATCCTCAAAATGTTCTGTGGCTCTAAACAGTCTTCCTTGCTCCTCTGATCTCTCTGTATTACAGAGGCAGTGAGTGTCCTACAGTCACAAGAGACTGTGGTTTGGCTGGCTAAGAGACAAGGCACCGTCTTGTCTTGTGGCTCTGCTTCTTGTCCGTGAGCTTGGAAGTCATATCTCAATCACATGCATGGTGGTGGTGGTTTAGTTGCTCAGTCGTGTCTGGTTCTTTGCAACCCCGTGCGTGGTAGCCTGCCAGGCTCCTCTGTCCATGGCATTTCCCAGGCAAGAATCCTGGAGTGGGTTGTCATTTCCTTCTTCAGGGGATCTTCCTGACCCAGGGATTGAACCTGGGTCTCCTCCATTGCAGGCAGATTCTTTACCAACGGAGCCATGTAATTTCCCAGGAAAATTAGATTTCCCCCAGTATGAAAAAGATTGTCAATACCTTGGAGCAGGAACTGGTTGGATGCTGTTCATCACTGTACCCGCTGCCTGGTATAGTATAGGAGCTCAGATGTACTAACTGACTGTCAAAGGACTCAAAATATTTGTTTTGAATTCTTATAATTGAAAGTTGCAAAAGGGACATTATGATATCTTATATACTAGAATTCTACTATCTAGGAATGTAAAAATGCATCCATCCATCCATCCATCTTTCTTCTATTCATCCATCATTCACCATCATCCATCGTTTCATCCATCTTTCATCTATCCAATCCACCATCCATCTTCATCCATTCACCCTCCATCTGTACGAGGTCAATTGTGGTTTTTAACCATTTTGCTACTACAGATCTGAGGAAGAGAATTAAAGTACTCCCTCTACTAATGATGTGAGTCTGGAGGTCCACTTCCTAATGCTTGGTGGCCTCATGAAGAAATTATATAGTGTGGAAATGAGGAGCATCTCTGCACTGGTGCTCAGTTGCCAGTGCTGAAGCCCCTGGTCTAGCATCTTCCTGGCTAAGTGACCTTGGGCGAGTCATGGTTTTATCATGGATCCATCAGAGATGGTAATACCCCCACAATTTAGTGTTGTAAGAACTGAATGAGACAACATGTATAGAGCCCTTGGGACAGTGCCTGGCAGGTGGTGAATAAGTGAACAAGGGTGAACTTCTGTTCCCCTGAGACTTCTAGCATCATGGAGATGGTGAGATTCCTGCCTTGCTGTGCTCTGTCCCACTGGTATCCCCTCAACATGGTCATTGTTGTTCATTCACTCAGGCGTGTCTGACTCTCTGTGATCCCCTGGACTGTAGCACACCAGGCGTCCCTGTCTTTCACCGTCTCTCAGAGCTTGCTCAAACCCACGTCCATTGAGTCAGTGATGCCATCCAAACGTTTCATCCTCTGTCACCCCCAACAAATCTGAACGGCACGTCTGTCTCGTAGCAGCTGCTTGTCTCCTCTGTGTATCTCTTTATCCCTATTCTGCACTCTGTCTCCCATCAGGGGTCTCCATGGCTGGATCTTGGTCTGATGAACGCACTTTGTCGGGGGAGAGACTGGTGGACCTCCTGCCAGCTCCCCCACTCACAAAGTCCTCCCACGCACCAGTGGCTGACTGGCTGATGGGGGTGACCGAGTCACGACCTGCTGACCTGGAGCCTGCGTATCTCTCTTCTCTTGCAGGGAGTCCGACCTGTTCCTGCTCGACAGCCGCACCCTCTGGGCCTCAGAGGAGGGCTGGCTCGTTTTTGACATCACGGCCACCAGCAACCACTGGGTGGTCAACCCGCGGCACAACCTGGGCCTGCAGTTGTCAGTAGAGACTCTGGACGGTAAGTCCCTGGCCAGCACCCCAGCTCGTGCTGATGCAGCCCACAACTGTAGATCCCAGGGGGAGATCTCAACTCATGTCTATTAGGACCAAGTTTCCTCTTCTCCCTCCCTCATCAGCACTTCCTGTCCAGCCTTCTAATCCAAATAAAAGCAGTCCCTACCCCTTTTTCATATGGCATTTATACTGTTGGCCACAGCTGGGTTGGGTAAGGCCTCATTGCTCCAAGTGTGGCTCCAGAGCAGCACAGGTTGCCCCCCCCCCCCCCCCCCCCCCGCCATTAGAATCGCACTTTCTGGTCCATCCCAGGCCTGCCCTATCTGAACCTGCACTTCAGCTGAGCACGTAGTGATGCTCACACATGCAACATCTGAGCTGTGCTGATGCAGGCCCCTCAAACTCAGGACACAGGACATCCTGGGATGTCCTGGGCTGTGTAGGATGTTTCATGGTATCCCTGGCCTCTCCCCACTAGAAGCCAGTAGCCTCTGCCACTTGTGACATGAAAAATGTCTCCAGATATTGTCAGATGTCCCCTGCAGGGCAAAATCACCCCAGTGAAGGACACTGCACTGGTGTGAGGCCTGAACCCCCTTCCAAGAGACTGAATGTAGTGCCGAATCCTGCATACTTGGAGAACCTACTGTTTGCCCTCCCCCAGCACCTCTCCCACATGCCATGGCCGTGTTTTCTGAGAAGGGCAGACAGGGAGGCAAGTGGAGCAGTAGGGTGAGCCCGGCTGTGCCAATTTCTCCTTCCGCAAAGTTTATTTCTTATGAAGTGGGGGTGGTTTTAGGATGTGTGAGGTCTTCCTTACACCAGTTTAAAAAAATTTATATTTCAGTGTGTTATGTTGTGTTAGTTACTCAGTTGTGTCTGACTCTTTTGTGACCCCCATGGACTGTAACCCACCAGGCTCCTCTGTCCATGGGATTCTCCAGGCGAGAATACTAGAGTGGGTTGCCATGCCCTTCTCTAGGTGATCTTCCCAACCCAGGGATCGAACCTGGGTCTTCAGCATTGCAGGAGGATTCTTTACCGTCTGAGACACTAGGGAAGCCCATATTTTAGTACAGGTATTAACAATGCATGTTCCAGGCTCAAAGTTTAAGTTCCAGATGTGTGCAACACTGAATAGTTTCCCTCTGACATCCTTCCTCCAGCTGCTGTGTTCCGCCTCCCAGAAGCAGCTATGTCCGAGTTATTGGGTACTTCCCTTGTGACTCAGCTGCAATGCGGGAGACCTGGGTTCGATCCCTGGGTTGGGAAGATCACCTGGAGAAGGGAAAGGCTACCCACTCCAGTATTCTGGCCTGGAGATTTCCATGGACTGTATAGTCCATGGGGTTGCAAGGAGTTGGACACGACTGAGCTACTTTCACTTCTTTTCAAGGATGCCTTCTGGGTATCTAAGCCATTAAATGTATAGAGTCTGCTTTTTCCTGCCCCCCCCCCCCCCCCGCCAAATACTGGTGTAGTCTATACAGTGTCCTTCACCTTGCTTTTTTCACCTGACAGTGTATCTCGGAGGCTGGTCTTTTTCCACCATTAAAGAGCTTCCTGTTCTTTAAAGGCTGTTATGTGTTTATGTGCATGTGGAGCGAATTTAGCCCTACTGCTCTCTCACTGTGTGACTGTGGACAATTTCCCTAATGTCCCAGAGCCTCCGTTCCTCATCTCCAACACTCAGGTAATGAAAGGGCCTGGGCCACTGGGTTGTTCTGAGGTTGAGTGAGTTAATACAGAAGAGTTTTAAAAATCATGTCCTAAGGTACATGGGAATCCCCTGGGCTTCCTGTGAAAATACAGATTCTGATTCAGCAGGTCTGGGGCAAAGAGGAGGCTGTGGTTCAAACGCCTCTCCCCGGCCCAAGCTATGTAGAGGCTGCTAGTCCCCAGACTGTGCTTTGAGTAGTGAGGGCTGAGAAGAGGACTCAGCTTGTAATACACAGGCCCTAGAAGTTGTTACTACCACCAAAAGTGACTCATCCAGTCCCCCCGTGATGAATGTCTAGAGTTTCCCGTCTTGCACTCTTACAAACAGGGCTGCAGTGCATATGTCCTTGGACCCTTGAGTAAGTATAACTCCAGGAACAGTTCCTAAACGTGACATTGTCTGCCTGTAGTTTTGATCAGTATTGTCAATTTACCCTCCTGAGAGGTCATTCCATTTGCACGAGGGCACTTGTGCCCCGTCTTTGTTGGAACGAAGATGCTCAGTCATTCAGTTGTATCCAATTCTGTGTAGCCCCGTGGACTGTAGCCTGTCAGGCTCCTCTGCCCTTGGAATTTTCCATGCAAGAATACTGGTGTGGTATATCCTCCTCCAGAGGATCTTCCCGACCCAGGGATCAAACATGGATCTCCCGCACTGCAGGCGTATTCTTCACCAGCTCTCAAACTTATGTCTTGGCTAATCCGATAGATGACACGTGGGATCTCATAGTTTTGCTTTGCTTTTCTCTCCTCTATGCGAGGCTGAGCCCTTCCTCTAAATTTGTCATTTCTTCCTTGTCCGTCTCCTCTGTCCATTGCTTGCAGAGGGTATTGGGCATTTTCTGCTTTACATTTTAGGGACATTTGGTCCTTTGTGATCTGAGCTGTGAATATTGTTCCAATTTTTAGTTTTTCTTTGTACTGTGGTTCATGCTGGGTTTTGCCAAGTAGATTTAGGCAGCGTAGATACATTTTGTAATTTTTTCTCCAGAATTATCTATGGTCATGTGCTATATTGGAACAATCACAGAGTATAGGGCCACACTTGTCTTCTTTCCAGTCTAGTCTTCCTACTGACAGTTTCCCCCAAGCTTCCCTCCCCCACCAAACCTTCCACTTTCTGTGCCCCTAACACTTTTTAGTGGGGTCCTAGAAGGTACTGTAGTTTCCTATTGTTCTATACCTGATTGGCAAATTATGCACGGTGGACCAAATTCAGCCTCCAGCCTGTTCTGGGGTGCCTGTGAGCTAAGAACAGTTTTCAAATTTTTAAATGGCTGAGAAAAATTTTAAAAAGAAGACTATTTTGTGACACATAAGATTATATGAGATTTACATTTTGGTGTCCATAAATAAAGTTTTAGTATTCCACAGTCACACTAACTGGTTTATGCATCACCTGAGCCTGCTTTTGTGCTGTAACAACAGATTTGAGTAGTTGTGACAGCGACACTATGGCTCAGAAAGCTGAAAATATTATTTTCAGAAATGCTATTTACAGAAGGAGTTTGCCACGACCAGAATTTCTCAAACTGTGTTCTGTAAAGAATCATGATCCGTTACGTGCAAGAAAGGCTAGGCTGGATGAACTAAGCAGGTTTCACTGCAGGACTTCTCAGAGCCTTTATTTTCCTGATGTCCATTGTGAATCTCCTTACAGGGTCAACAGCATAGATGAATTCCAGACTTATTTGGCAATAGGTTCATTCAGCTCTTCTTTGTCCTTAAAAGTCCCTGTGGAACATATTGGGGATGGGGCACCCATGAGGCTGAGGGAGACTTGATTGCTCTCTTCAGAGTGACCTTTTCCCTGAACTTATGGATATGGGTTTGACCTGCTAACTTGACCTCAGTGGGTCTGGTGCTCTTCTGTCCTGCTTACCCTTCTGGCTTGGGATAGCTTAGGTTTGGTTTTTCTCTTAAGTGACACTCAACCCAGTATCAAGCCTGCCAACCCCTTTCTCCCCCACACCCAGGGTCTTTGTCCCCCACCGTTTGCCGAGACTCGGCATTTATTGAGGTGTCACAGCCTGATGGTTAGAGCCTGGGCTCAGGAGCTGGCTAAACTCCCCGGGTTTGAGTCCCAGCTCTGCTGTTTCTAGCCACATGACCCAGGGTGAGTCACTTAATGTCCCTCATCTGGAAAATGGGGTTAATAATAGCTTCCACCTCTCAGGGTGGTTGTGAAGGATTAGGTGAGCTCATGAGAGTGAAAAGCTTAATTGCTTAACATGTGGTAGCTGCTAAACACAAAGTAAGTGCTTTCTGCCATTGTCTCCTATAATCCTCACCATTCCCAGTTGGGTGGATGCTATTATTAGCATCTCCATGGGACAGGTGAGGGAATTGAGGCCCCTGAGGGGTGTTGAGTCTCCATATTCCATCAGCTGCCTCCTTGCCGGAGGAGTATAGCCTAGTGGCCGCAAGATGATGCCTAGAGTTAGGGTAAGGGTCTGATGCCAGGCCCCTGACTTGCTGCCTCACATCCTCCCCTTCTAATGGGGCCCTGGGGCCGGGCATGGATGCTGCCACCCTGGGACCTGACTTGTCCAGGTGCTGTGCATGCTGAGGCAGCAAATTTGGTCCAGTTGCCCACCAAATTTGGTCAAGGAAGGCCCACCCACCCACACCATCTAGGAGGGGCAGAGTATTCAGTGGCCAGCTGGGCATGTGAGTTTTTGGATCTTTGAACGGGGGATGAGATAAGAAGTGAGAGAGCCCAGCATTTCTGAGACCACAGTCTCCTGGCTGGGAAACTTTTCCTCCATGGGGTTCCTTCTGCATCAGAATCCCCGGGGTGGCAGGCACATTGAACATACAGATTCCCAGGCTCCACCCCCCAGACCCTCTGACGGCAAGTCCCCGAAGATGGGCCCAGGAATCTGCCTTTTCTCACAAGCTCCTCAGTAACTTGGGATCTGGCCCAATGATAAGATTCTGGTGAAGTCATGCCCCGTGTTTTGGGGTACACTGTTTATAAGATGGTGCTCAGGCTGGCCACGTCTAAACGTGAGTTCAAACCTTTTCATGTTGGATGCCTACACAGGTGAAAGACCAGCAGGGCCTGCTGGGGAGTCCATGGATGCTGGGGTCCATGTGATGGGCAGATTAGTGGGCAAATACTGTGTGCCAGCCCTGTGTGGCCTGTGGAGACAGCCTGGACCCTGCCCTGGGACCACCTGCTAGCCGTAACATGAACTCAGTGAGGGTCGCTGCCTTGGACAGCACCTGGAGAGGACGAGTTCCAGGGCCGTGGCACCCGGGCCCAGCTCCCAGTGCCCCATC